GCTTATGGTGAGGCCACCTACAGCTCTGCTTCACAAAACAGAGTCAAGATCACTTCCAAAAAGCCTTTTGAGAAGGTATTTTTTGTCAACAATGACAACAGGCTCCTGGTGCAACAGACTCCCCTTCCAGAGGTCCCTGGGAAATACAGCCTGACAATAAATGGCAGTGGATGTGTATTTATGCAAGTAAATGTCTGCTTTCTTCTTCATTGTGTCTCACATGTTGCATACAAGATAGTAATTGTTTTGATGATTTTCTAGCTGACTCTTCTTTATTTTTCCTAATTGCTTGATTTCCCTAAATCATTTAAACACTCTTTTTCCCTCTGAGTCCTGGGGAGTTCTGGCATGGAAAAAGCGTCCTTTCTGATCAATATCTGGTTTCTTTCTGGGAGGTGATTCTGGGTACAAGCACCTCCATTGTTAAAGAGCAGAAGTCTTATGTGTTCATCATTGATATAAGCAAGCATCTTCCACGTAAAACCAAGTGTAACATTGCCAGAAAAGTTCACTAAGTCTTTTTGTTTGGAATGCAAAGAAAATCTTTGGCATTCTTGAACAAAAGGGTTTTTTCCTCTTCCAGACAGCACTGAGATACAACATTCACCTTCCAGAGGGGTCCTCTGGATTTCTGCTTTCAGTACAGACATCAAATGCTTCCTGCCCACAGGACAGACCAGCAAAATTTGATATTGTCCTTGTAAGCAGGTATGTGCCACCAGCAAACCAGCTGCACAGATGACAAGGCACACAGAGAACATTGCTGTGTGTTTTCACTGCAGCTTATGAAGTCAAGAACCACAGGCTGATCAATATGCTGATGGTATCAGCCTGTTAGACACAGTGTCCCCAAAGACCCTGACAGGGCCCTGTGTTCTTTCAGTTACACGGGGAAACGCAGCAGCTCCAACATGCTCATCATTGATGTGAAGATGCTCTCTGGCTTTGTTCCTGTGAAGTCATCCCTGGATAAGGTAAATGTAGAGGAGCAAGGCTAAATTACCAGAGGCATGGTTAAGAACCATTCAGCCACAGACCCTGTGAGGTGTTTGCATGGCTGCACTGTTCATTCCTGCGTGGAGGGAATGCCCTCCAGGGAGCTTTGAACACACTGACACTCCTATGTTTAAAACTAGGAAGGGTTTCAGCTCAAGCCTGAGCAGCTGGCAGCTACAACTGGGCACTGACCAGGTAGGGAAAGGGTGGGAAACCTCTCAGACTAGCTCTGAAATGCAGATCACACCAGAGTCAGGCAGAATTCCCCAAGTGAATTGCAGTGCCTTGTGCATTCGGAAAGAGCTCATACCCCCAGCTAAGTCAAATGGTAGGTTTTTGTCCATCCTTTCAATCTATTCAGCAATATTTGGACTCTAAAAGTCAACTACCAGCCCTTGAAACTTGACTAGGAGAAGAATGAATACCACAGACATGCAGCAGTAGGGTCTGAGGCAGCACTTTTTTTGCAATGTTCTACAAATATATTTATCTCCATTTTCTTGTTTCAAAGCTCATTGACAGTCAAACAGTGATGCAAGTAGAAAACAAGAAAAATCACGTCCTCCTTTATCTGCAAAATGTAAGTTCTGGTGACTATTTGATTTTCACAAATGATGGAAACAGCATGTAATAGGTATAACCACAATATGGATATACCCTATATGGTGCATTTATCATGTTCTCTTCCTCAACAGTTTTCTACTGTTATCACTAAGCTGCTTACTTCTCAAACTGCATGTAACTTTCCAACCTTCCAAACAGCTTCAAACTGACAACTGTCCTGCCAGCAACTAAAAAATCAAAAATATTCATAAAAAAAAAACAAGCACATTGAAATTAAACAAAATTCTTTCTTATTTCAGTAAAAAGTAGATAAACACCAGAAAAGTGGTTCCCTTGTGTTTATGCCTCTTTGGTAGGCTTCTTATAAACATCAGTCTTTCCAACAGCACAGGAAACACTGCTTTCATTCTCCTCTGGAAAGATTTTCTTTGCTTCTCTTACACTAGATCATTGCAAAATTTTACTTGTAATCTAAGCCCTGAATCAGAATTTACTTAGTAAATAATTTGCTCAGGGCACCGTAGAAGTAACAGAAGCCAATACCCCAGTGATGGACTCTGTAAATTGATTCCCAGTTTCTTGGTGGCACATGATGTCCATGTCTGAAATGGGAGGGATTGGAATACCAGATTTTATCATCCTGATCGTTGGGAGATCCTGCAAAATTAAACTCAGTCCCTTTGGGCAATTTTCCCACCTCTGGCAATAGGATATGCAATAATTACAGAATCAGGTGATACAAGCAGGACAGAAAATCTACTAACTTTTCAGTTCAGTTTCACGTTGGACTCTCCAAACATGTTTTGATAATGGCTGTCCCATATCTGTGGGTGTGGCATCAGTGGGATTTGGAATATGCAGCCTGTCAGTTACCCCCCTTGTCTGCTCTGGATGGTACTGTACAAATAAAAAGACTGATGTGATCTCTGACCTTCCCTCCCAGCTCTCACAGAAGAAAAGGAAAGAAATCACTTTCTCGGTTGAGCAGGACTTTGTAGTGACCCACCCCAAGCCAGCAACTGTGCAGATCTATGACTACTATGAAACAGGTATGGCTTTGATTTTAACCAGTGTGCAGTGTGGGGACAGGGACAGCAGAAACATGTGCCTTAAGGGACACACAGAACCAGCCCTGCTGCAAACAGCACTCCTCTGGACTCCATCAGCACCTGAATCTAGGGCCAGGGGAGAGACTCATTTCACTTTATTCACCTTGGTCTCATGCCCAAGGTGATCAATAGGCATGACTAGAAAGTTATGAAAATACTTGCACCAGAATAAAGGATATTTCAAGGATCTCCAGTTTAAGCATGCATAGGTTATGTCCACCTCCAGGGAAAGGCACAAGAAGAGTTCTCCAGGGTAACAAGAATGTTTCTATTCTTCTTCTCCAGAAGAGTATGCTGTTGCTCAATACTCATCACCTTGCAACAAGGTTGTTGCAGGAAAGGACTGTGGATTCAAAAAGGTAAGTGAAAGCCAGAAAATAACCAAACAGGCAGATAAGAAAGTGAACTATAAAGCAGCAAAAGCAGAATGAGTAGAACAGGAACCATTCTCAAATAAATGAAGTCTCCTTAAAGCTTCTCAGAGAGCAGAGACAGTGGCCAGGTCCTATCCCATGACACCTGTGGAATCCAAGTGGGCACCACGCTGCTGTTCATGGGAAGAGCTTAGCATCTAGAATGAAAGCCAAAGTGCAGAATAATATAAAGACTGGGAAATACCTTCAAAGCTTCCTCAAAAGCACAGATACGTACCAAAGAACCATTTATCTATGGCCGTCCTCAAAAGTCTTCCCTCTGGAGCCTATGCTTCCCAGACCCAAGCAAGGTTTTCCACACAGACTAACAGAAACTTTTTCTGGGACAGTAAATACATTATCTGAGGAGAACACGAGGTGACACAAATCATGGAGGCAGTGTATTCACTAGTCAGAGGTATGATGCTGCTGGGCTGTAGGGGAGGTCAGGTCTGCATCCTGCTCAGCACAGCAGTTCTGCTGACTGCTGTCTCATGAACAGTTTCTCAGGAGTCCAGGCACAGCTTGCTGCAAGACCTTGGTCCAGCTTTTGTCTGTTTCACACAGTAAGAACTGACTACCCTGTATCTTGAAAAAAATGCCTGTGTTTTGTAACCTGCAACTCTTGGTTCTCACTGAGGTTATTTTCTTTCGGATTTTCACCTGCAGGAGCATCATAAATGTTGAACAAGTGGTCAAGAACCCTATTTTCTTCTGTCATGAAGTCCTGGAAAAAGCCATTGCATCACAGTGGGACTCCGTGACGTTGATTGAGCTAGTGTCTGACACTCTGTTTCCTTTCACAGCACAGGTCTCCAGCTCCATAGCATAATCATGTATACCTTTCCACCAATAAACCTCCCTTTTACATTGGGATTGGCTTTTTTTCAGTGTCACAGAACAGGCATTTTGATGATAGTGCACATGACTGCAGGCTGGGGGAGGATGAGGAGAGGAACACACCTGTCCTGCCTGCAGCACTTTGCCTTGTCCCTCAGCTACAGCTGATAACCCTTGGCCACTCCTGCAATACACATGGTGTTCAGTCTCCCCACATCCAGAGATGGCACCCACTGCTCATAGCTGCTGGACAGCCCCTCACCTTTCCCCAGGCCTGTGACAGCACTGCCTTTGCCCCTCTGGCATAAGAGTAAGGGTTTAGGTGAAAACATCACAGAGTGACTGCATCATGCTCAGCAGGGGACAGGTGAGGAAAGGGACAGCTTGCAGTCCAGACCTGTGAGTGCCTGGGCCCATGTCCTCCATCTCACCCTGCCACGCCCTCCAAGTCTGGCAGAGTTTGTCCAAACCAGGCCACGATGGATCACGGTAGGAGCCACCAGCAGCGACCCTCCCCATTTTCCCGCACCTCTGCTCATCCCCTCCTTCATCACGCTTGGAGCCGTGATGGTGGTTTCTGCAAACACTAACACAGCAGCAGAGCAGCATCGGGAGGGCTGGGGAAAGAAACACGGGTGCTGCTCCTCTTTCCCGGGCGCAGCAGCGGCGCCGGCAGCGCTCGCCCATCCCGCGGGGCTCCAGGGCCGCGGGGCCCCGCTCCGCTCCGCGCATCCCGGCACCGGGCATGCGGCCGGCGGACCACGGGACCCGCGCCAAGGGGCCCCAGCAGGGATTTAAGGGCAAACTGCTCAGGTGCCGAGGGCTAACATCCAGCCGAGGGCTGGGAGGTGTTCGACAGGATCCATCCCACCAGGAGGTTTGCTAATGGCTGCATGCGAGCTTGCATTTTTTTTTCCGGTGAAAATTAACCATCAGGGCAACAGAGGATATTCCTCTCCCCAAAACATTTTTTTTTCTCAAAGAGCACTAAAAAATTTGAGTTTTAGTACTCCACAGGGCTTGCCATGCGGGATATGCATGATACTGATGTTATAAAAAGCCACTTTCTTAAGTTCCACAGACAAAGAATTTGTTGGGACACAAAATAGCTTTGGGTACATTTCTGATCTCCATGCAGAATGTTAAAATTAAAACATCACTGGCAGTAGAAGGAAAAGGAGGAGAGCAAGAAAAGCTGTAAATTTTGCACTTCTGGCACAGCCCAGATTGTAGCAACTGACTTGATTTACATGAGCATCAGGCTGGACTAAAGCAAGAGAAATCAATAGTTATGGTAACAAGGTTGAAAAGGAGAGCAGACTGAGTGGATGTGGATACAGGGTGTATATCTTCCTGAGGAATGTAAGGCCAATTAAGTTAAGGCTTCAGCATCTCACATGGAACTCATAAAAATCCCCTCAGGTCTGGCCCAATATGTTATTCTGTTCTGCTGAACACAGTTTCCTGGGAAGAAACAAGGTCCTGGGAAAAAAAAAATAAAGTGCATTTTTATCATACTTTTGAAATCTTATCTTCCTTTTAGGTCAAACCTGCCTATTAAAACATGAAATGTTCATTTCCCACTGCACTCTCTTCCTTTGCATACTGAAAATGTAATGTTTGTTGCCCAATTTTATCCTTCAACTCAAACATATAATTGCTCATTGCAGTCAGATCTAATAAATATCCCATGCTCACACTCTCCCTCCAGATTTTTACATCTAGATCATGTCTCCCTAGCTTCCACACCCACAGGGAACAGCAATATTTTTAAAACACATTCCAACACCTCCAAGATGTCTGAAACCTTGGTGTCATGTTTCAGCTCTAGGTTTTGTGCCACACACCTGAAACTGAAGCAAGTATATTAATTGTGGGCTGAACAAGCCAGGGACACCCACCAGCCTGAATGTCCTTTCTTCTTCTCTCATCTGATAAGCCTGAGGTGCCAGGGATCAGGGGAGTGTTCCAGGCCTCAGAGGGTAGAATTACTGTAATTTTTTAGACATACAGACTAAGCAAACTGTGTTGTCCAAATGTGATAAAATCAGGCTGACTGGCCCAAGAGCTGCTACGAGGTATCATACTGCTGCCAACTCAAAGGCACATGCACTTACTGTGCTTGGTATTGCACATACCAGTCTTAAAAAGCTGAAACTGTTGTGCAGGATATTGGACTGGGTCAGCAATGCTACAATAAATGGGAAAATCCCAGCTTCACTGTGGGTGTCTGCCACTGTCCTTGTACCTGCTCTGGATGTCCCATGGGTCCATGCATAGCTCTGCTAGAAATACATTAAAAGCTGTTCTGAAATGCATTTTTTATTGATAAAAAAGAATTAACGAAGTATAATCACGTCATAGTGTCTTTGACTGAAGTGCTCTGTCAAGCTTACTTCCCTTTTGTGTTATGTAACTCTTGTAGAGCTTATTTGTGCCGTGGGAATTGATTTGCTGCTCGTGTGGAGTCCACACTCAAGGATCTGCAAAAGGCTGATGTTATAGTCTAGTTAAGAAGAAGAACTCTAATGACCATACCTGCTTTGAAAAGTGAACATAAATGCTTTTACAGTAGAAGATGAGTGTCATCCACAGTGCAGGCAGCAGGACGCAAAATCTAGAGGAAAAATGGGTCTCTCCAGAAAAATAAGCTTTAGTGTAGAAGCATTCTCTTGCTTAGGCCCCTCAAATTATTAGCTAGGGTCTGACAAAGGAGTCCTCAGTTCTGGGAGTTTGGTTGCTCCATCTTTTGACTCAAATCCTCTGTGATCCCCACAGTGTCACAGGCAACAGGGCCAAACTATTAGACAATGGCACAGCAAGACCTCACCTGTATGATTTAGATGTTCAGGTCTTCTTCTCAGCACCTGTGTCAAATATGGAGTGTGAGTAATGACCAACCAATTCAATGGTCAGAGAAGACCAGAAATGTGTCAGAAGACCCTTCAGCCAACAAATGACGATGTCTGAGGAATCAACTCATCTTTGTTCTCTGATTATTTCTTTGTTGATTTCATTTGTACCTGGTAGACAATTAGGGAGGTAGGGCTTTGTCTGCACTGGTGACCCTCACCATCTGATTCATCAGCCAGGTGACACAGAAGTGTGGTCACATCTCTGGCACCACTGGCTGTGAAACACCAAATGTCAGAGAAGGGCTTCCTGAGGAACATCACTCATACATTTGCATTTTTTTATTCAGAGCAACAATGAAAACTTTCCTCAAGGATTTTCAAGTGGAAAAGCAACTCATTGTAAGCTAATCCTGTAGCTCACAGCAAGAGAAAGCTTCTTTCTGCTTGACCTAGTAAAGGGTCACCTTTTGAAGGTCAAGAAAATCCTAAAAGCAAGGTATTACATTGAATACAGAACCTAATAGCCTCTTTCAAGGGAATGTCTCACTCTTCCCCTTTCTGATACTCCTGCAGCTCAGCACACTCATCTCCTTTCTGGCACACCACTGCTCCTGCCAGGCAAACCAGGATCTCCCTTAAGAACATGACTTCAGCAGGACCCCATGTTGTCACACTGTGTGTAAATAACCTGTCAGCTGGGAGATTTAAGAAGTCCTGTTTGAGAGGGAAGAGAGACATATGAACAAGGCAGTCAAAGGTGAAGGGAATAAAAATCACCATTGGCTATGACAGGACTCTGTGCATGCTGCTAAAGTGCTAACCTCACACATTTTTCAGCCTCCTACCCTTTGACTCACTGCCCATAGGGAGGCTAAGGCTGGGTTATTACTGTAAGCAATTGCATAACTGTGCCAGATGTTTTCTACTTCACTTCTCTAGATGTGATAAGTTTTAGGTCCCACCAGTTCCCCTTGCTGTCCTTGCTGTCAAGGTGAGGTGTGTCCCCAAGGAGTGTGCCAAGGTGAAGCACATCTGGGAAGTCCTGTGCACTGACTGTGGGATGCACAGAGCCCATGGCTGCTTAGGACAGGTCTTGTCCTGTTCCCAGGACAGGCTCTGTAGCAGGACACTGTGTTGAAAAGTTCCCTGATAAATGGTGTGCTCTCCAGCTGTGTTACACTGCTCATACACCTTCCCCTGACTGAAATGTCAGCTCTGCCCCACCTAACAAGTTGGAACAGAACAAAGCAGAGGTGCAGGGGAAAGGATTAAATGTGACAATATCTGATTTCCTTGCCTCATGCTCCACTCGGACTTTCTTATTTGGTTTTCCTATAGCATCCTCTATCTCAAAATCCTGGACAAACACACCAGCTGAGCCCCAGCTCCTGTCTGCACTGGGAAAAGGCTCATGCCTTGGGTACCAAACATCTGGCTTAGCTGTAGCACAGAGAGAGCCCGATGGCCTTGCCTCATGTCACCCAGCAAGGCAGGAGGCAAGGTGAGCACAGAGCCCGTCCCCCTGGCCACCTCTGCTCACACAGAAGGCTCTGGGACAGAGGAGAGGAGTGAGAGCTCCTGCACACCTCTGCAGCAGGTGGGTGCTACCCCAGTGGGTACAGCATGGGCTGTGCCACAGGGAGGTGGCATTGGCACAGCCTTGTGCCACCTTCTTCCAGCAGCCTGCCAGAGGGAGGCAGTGATTTGGAGTTTTACTGTTTTATAGCTAAGTGAACTTAAAATCTAAATGGGAGAAATCTCTGAAATGCCTACACAGCATGAGCATGGGGTTTTTTTTCTACACTGGCACTTCTGCTGATGGCCTTGTGCTATGAAGTGTGGATGGTCTCTGGGGATGGATGTCTCATGGCACCTGTGGGTGCCTGTTCTGTTGTTACATAGCCCTTGGGAGAAACATTCTTTTTCCTTCCATGTGCTCATTGTTTCTCTGTATGAATCTTGGCCTAATTACCTTTGCTCCTGCCACTGTGCACCTCTGAGGAAAGCCTGGCTCAAACACTGTTCAACCTGACTTGAACATAACCTCAGGGCCAGCAGAGGAACCTTCATGAGATGCCTGTGCCTGAGGAGAGAGGTAGTCCAGACACTAACTTTACAGCCAAAGCTAAACAGAAAGTCTATATGCATTTAATATATCTTTTTATATGGTAAATTTTTATCTGAAGAGTCATATGACTCAAAAAAAAGTATAATTGATTGACCTGAGTGCTGGTCAGAGACACATTTGTAAATGTTTTGGCTTTTTCTACCCCCCTCCTTGGCAAAATGCTGAGTAGTACAAAAGCATAAATTAAAAAAACTTGTCATTTGTTACTGCATCGGGGATTACCTTCAATTCTCTGTAATATCCAAAAATATCTGCTAACATGTGAGCAGTTTCCTGTTTACAGGTTTTTAAATTATTAGAGAGCGTTCACTAGTTACCTTAGATGGATTTTATAATGGGATTTCAACAATTTATCCTACTGTGTGTGTGCTGTGTACTGTAAGTATCAAGCAGACACACTCTAGATTTCTCATGCCTGAGGGTAAACAACCTTGTTTATAGCCTTTTTTACAGCATACAGTATAAATTTCTTCTAAGGCAAGACCAAATTTATATACACTGTGGATGTTTGTTATAACACAGCTGAGAAAGACAGAAAACCTCTACATACCTTGTATATGGCTTACCCTACAGATGGCCACCTCACATCACACAAAATATGGTTCACAGGACCATTTATAAAATTCAGCCACCAATCTGGTTTGCAATTTAATCTACAAAGTGCATTAAAATGAAAATAATTCATTGATGGTTTTGCCATGCCTGAATTTAGTCATTTGTTCATATGACACCTCAGAAATATGAGTTATATTTGACAGCCCAGCTGTCCACATCTGGGAAAGGCAGTTCATCTGCTTGTCAGGCCCTTCTCTCAGGTTAAATTATTCAACAAGCAACTAAAGTGGATAATCTTTATTCATTCTGACATTTCCAGTTTCATTTGAAATTTAGCTGATGAAGCTGTTTTATGGTATTTCATTTCATTGTGTATCTTCCTGTTCCTGCTTGGTACAACTTGTAAAATGTTCATATTGTCTGAGGTTTTTTTAATAGACGACCTTCCCTTCACTGTGGTCTGTGAAGCATTTTGTCTCCTATACAATCAGAAACCCCTTTTTATGTCTTTGGATGTTGCTATCATTCCTACTGATTTATCTAAGTACTTTTTCCTGTCATACTTCTTTGTCATACAAAATAAATTGCTTTGGGTTTGTTTGCTTTTGTTTTTTCTCAGGCTGGGAAAACTAATATCATAATTTGGATTTCCTTTAAAATAACAATACTGATGTTTGTGGTTTTTTCTCTCCTGTAGTATTTTTTCTGCCTTTAGCTGAACAGCTAATACAATTTGTTAACTGGAGCTGTTCATATAAGTCTTGAGTTTTACAGTGGGTTTTTCCTCACCTGTCACCACACAAAGCTGCTGTCATTAAGGAGAGACATTCCTTTGCTAGAGCTGCTGGTTTCCAACAGGAGTTCTTAGGTGAAAGTGCATGGACCACCATATATCATGAAAGGCATGATACCAGTGTCTTCAAGAAATGTTTCCACAGCTTTTTCTTTTCACATGCCTGTTCTTCAAAGGTTAAAGTTCACTTTATTGTTTGGCTTTGGCCTTGAGGGTTGAACATTGTGCTACATCCTTGAGGAGACTGAACAGGATCATATTAGAAAAACAAGTGTCTTTCTTGAGATTATTTACCTTTGGTGGCAGAGGTGCCAAAACTGCTTTCAGACTCCAGGAACAGACAAGGATTCCCACATATACTGCTGTTGTGAAAGTACAGAGAGTATTTGCACCCAACCACAGACACCTTTTCTTTCTGCAATTGCAGTCAGCAGCAAGCCACTCTGCTTTTGGACAATTGGCAGTCACCTACAAAGCTAAAAAATAGAAACTGAAAAGAAATCAGAGGAAACTATACCAGAATTGGGTTAAAAGTGATTAAAATTACACAGCTCAATACCTTACTTTGTTTTCAAGGGAAAATGTGTTTTCTATAGTGGTTATAAACTTGGAGGTGTAGGACACATCAAATTTTTGTGTCATCTTTGCCAGGCAAAGCAGTGAGGACTGTAAGGCTTGGAGGAAACTTTGCAGAATGAGGCATGCTGTGACTGGAATTCATCAATATTCATGATGGCCCATATTAACTTACTAATTTCACCTTCTGCATCAGTCATTCCAACTCAAAACAATATATTTTAAAGTGCTGATGAAGAGGAACTGTGAAGGAAATATTGTGGAAACTTAAATCAGATTGCTGTGATTGGATGCTGCCCACAGGGAATATTACCATGTGCTGAACAGAGTTCACATCCCCAACACTGCGGATTTCTGATGGGTTAAGGAAAACAGGGTATGAATCATTCAAAGATTTCTAATATAAGCATTACCCAAATAAATACCCTTCCCCCACTTGCAGAGTCTCTGGCCAAATACTGTCCCTCTGTTCCAGCTCCTCCTTGCTGCCTCTCCCTGTTTCCGGATGGGCCCTGGCCCCCAGCCCTTATCTCCTCCAGCCCCTGGGCTGTTTGCAGAGAGCAGCTATAAAGAGGCTGACAGAGCACGGAGTGGAGGGGAATTACAAGGTGCAGGAAAACAGCAGCACCGCTTGGCTCAGCACGACCTGCTCTGCACCATGGGGAAGGACAAGCTGCCCAGCAAACCAAACATCTTCCTCCTTCTTCTCTTCTTCCTTCCTGGAAACACTCCTCTCAACACGGAACCGTAAGCTACACGTGTGGAGGGGGGAGGGAGGTCTAAGTGCTCCCTTTTTCCTGCAGCTTTCTTCCCACTAATAACCAAGCCCTGAGTTCCTGCACAGCTCTGACAGTGTTCCTCGCTCCCATCCTGTAATCCCCCGGCTGTCCAGCCCTGGGACCCCTCCCCACCACCATCTCTGCCAGGGGCCTCCTTCCACCCTCCCCAAATCTCTGCCCGCATGCCCACAGTCCTGCCCTGATAGTCCAAACCTGGATCCTCTCAACACCTTTGCCCAAGTATGTTTCTGCCTTGAAACCTCTCAGGGCCTGGGATGTTGTGGGCATGATGCCGGGATCCAGGTGCTTACCTTTCCCAGAGTGTCCTTGTTTCAATCACTGAGTTACTTCTCCCCATTCTCCTGTTGCTTTCCAAGCCAGTTTGTTCCCCTTTCTCCTGCCAGTTTGTTTCCCTTGGCAGGCTCAGATGTGCTTGTTCTCGGAGAGGATCTGTGACCTAGATTCCCTTCCTGCGGCTCGGGGGCTGGTGTCAGCGCCAGGGCTGCGCGGCCCGGGAGCACGGCTGCAGCTTGGGCTCTGCCGGGAGAGGGGCAGCCCGGCATGGCACGGGCAGGCTGGAGCCTGGCATGCCCACCCCAGCCTTGCCCACCGGACAGCGCTGCTCTGAAGCCTCTTGTCTGGGGGGGAGCAGCCTCCCTCTTCATACCTTGGCTGGGTTCCTCTTGCAGTGCTGACAGAGGCACAGCTCTCACCAGCACGGGTCCAGCAGTGCTTGCTGCAGAGATTCCATGCCCACGAGCAGCTCTGGCAGAAGGTGCAGCACTACTGCTGCCACTTGCTGTGTGGTCAGAGGTAAAGTTTCCACTGGGTCAGCCTGAAGGACATTTGACTCACACTGTACCATCAATCCCCCATTTGTCTGCCCTGTTTGGGCGCTTCTGGGGTGGATCAGCCAAGCAAGTTTGTTTTGGGGTCAGGCAGAGCTCTCTGGTCCCCCTACAGTAATCTGATGTAACTAAGTAATTAAGTAATCTTCATTCATTCTTGCCCAACATCAGGGGGAAAGGGAATGAAACCATACTGCTCAGACCTGTGGGCAACATAGAACCATAGACTGGCCTGGTCTGGAAGGGACCTTAAAGATCACTCAGTTCCAAACCCCCCTGCCATGGACAGGGACACCTTTCTCTAGACCAGGTTGCTCAGATCTCTATTCAACCTGGCTTTAGGCATCTCAAGATGGGGTATCCACAGCTTGACTGTGCAATCTGTGCCAGTGCCTCACCAGTGAAGAAATTTTCTCCCTAATATCTAATCTAAACCTGCTCTCTTTCAGTTTGAATCCATTTCCCCTTGTCCTGTCCCTTGGCAACAGTCTTTCTCCATCTTTCTTGTAGGCTGCTTTTTGTCCCTTAACTGAGCCCCGTTCTGGGAGGGAAGAACAAAGAAAGGCTGAGAGGTGGGAGAGAGAGGGGTGTTGTTGGGGTCCCCAGAAGGAGGACAGGAGCCCAGTAGGGAGGCAGTTCTGAGCAGTGAACTGCTAGGTAGCATAGGTAGTTTTGCTGTGGGTGCAGGATAGATCAGATGCTGCATACAACACAGAAAGGAAGCAACCCTTGAACTGAAGACAAAAAATTAAACTTCCAACCAAGACTTGCTCACTGTACCCTATGCAAGTAGGGGGTATCACTTATTTGGGCAGAAATAGCTGCTGCTATTTCTATTTCAGAGGTGACCATCTGGACAGGAGACACAATTAAGGCTCAGATTGCATATTACAAAGAAACATATTCATCAAATTAGTGCAGCACTGGAACAGATGACCCAGACAGATGGTAGAAACTTTATCTATGGTGTCCTTTGCAAAAGTCCTGTTCCAGAAGGGAAGGTGGGCTTAAGACATCCAGAGGTCCTTTGTAACCAAAATGTCAATGATTTTGGAAGAATGCAGCCAAAGGTATTATTCTCCTACTCTGGTTGTGCATGTAAGCTGTTTAACAGTGCAGCGGACATGCTTGGGAGTACTCTGGATTTGGTCATAAGTGTGAGGCCATAATGACACTTTAATTGGCAGGTATTGATTTGGGCTGATGAAGTTCACTGCTTTCTTTGGCTGGGTGCTTGTTCTAGGAAGCAGCTGAGAGTCAATACACAGAGAGACATTATTCCACTTTCAGCTACAGTGTTACCTTCTCTGTAGAGACAAACTCACCATTTTTGCCTCAGCCTCCATCTCTAGGGTCTCCTATTCCTCCTTGGTGCATGCCTCTGTCAGAGTCACTGCCTCTCTCATCAGAACAGCTCATTGCATGCTGAGGTCTCTTTTGGCATCCCAGATGCTTTTTGTCCTGGAATGTGTGTACATGGCTTTTGTGACCACAGTTGCTTAAAACACTCATGGTAATTTAATTCATCTGTCTCTTCTAAACAACACATCCCCAAACACCTAAAGAGAGGTCTATAAACAGCATGGTTTATATCTCTGTTTCAAAGGCAGGAAAGCCAGCCTAAGGGGTAGTTCTGCAAGTGGGCCAAAATTTCAGCAGAACAGTGAACAGGAAGAGAAATGAGGCCAAATTCCCCACAAACTAGGTCAGGCTGTCCTTTCTGTGGACTGGATGCTATTGTCACATTGCCAGTGCCACTGACAGGGGACAGGGGGGATGGCATTAGGGGAAGCAGCATGGGCTGAAGCCATGGTAAGAAGGTTGTGGAAGAAAGGAAATGCTGGAGAAAGCAGAGAGTCACAAGTTGTAACTCACTCTCTGGGAGGCCGGAGTTCCCTCCTTTCACAGCTTCTGCAGCAGCACTGGCTGAGCAGAGTTGCCAGCAGGATCCTCACTACATTTCACCACAGTGCTGCCTCATGGTGAAGGAAATGCAGGAGCTGCTGGGATCCCACTGCCTCCACCATAGCTTTAGGACTCCCCAGAAAGCTCAGAGCCCAGGCAAAAATGTAGCTTTGGATGGATGCATTTGTATTTGTCCTCTATTCCTTTCTGAACCCTTCCCGACAGTCTGTTACTTATTACTGACTGAGAATTTTCCAAGGCTGACCAACAGTGGTCAAGTCTGAGTGGTAGGAGCTCACTTATTATATTCCCTTTATGAACAGTTCATTTGCTATTTTTTGCTACTCAGTTCTATCATACAAAAAAAAAATCTTTTCCACAAACATCTAAGTTAATTTTTAGAATTTTCTTATCCGGCACAATTATGAGACTATTGTACTTCCGAGATCATTTAGGTATGTACTGAAGAACAGGAGTCTCAACACAAACTCTGGAGGTTTTCACTGGTTCCTACCCCTGCTGCACTATCTTTCAACCAATTAATCCAGGACAGAATTATTAATTTGATTTATTAGTAAAATTATCCCTTTTATTGAATGGCAGCTTAGTTTAAGGGTCCTCTGTGGGGACCTTTCTCAAAGCTCTTTGAAGATGCAAGTACACTTGAGGTACAATAAAACACTACACCCCAAAATTCTCTGTGTGCTCATCTTAATAAGGTCCCAAACTGCAAGCACTCACATCTTTGCTCATCATGTGAAGGATTTGGAAACCTGGATAGGCAAAGACTGGAGGAGTCAGACAAGTGGGTGGGTTTTTTCCTCAACTGTTTTTAGCTAATGCCTTTGAGTCTCAAAAGGAGATTGTGGGATATACAAAATTCAATTAACAGCCTGAAACCTTTCAAACCATCCTTACTCCCTGCTGTGAAGCCAAACAAAACATCCTTTGTAAAGCACTCTCCATTAGCATAGAAATTGTTCCTTCTACTGCAAGCATTTTCCTGCTTTTAGGCTAATTAGTTAGACCATTTAATATGTATAAACCCAAAATAAAATGAATGCTCATGTTATATGCACTGCAATTCACAGGGATGGCAATGGATTAGGCATGCTGATTTGTTAATTTCCCTTCACTTAATACTGTTCCCTTAAAACCGTTTCACATTTCTGATCTTTCTTGCTTCCCTCCCTTCACAGGCAGTACATGGTGCTGGTGCCCTTTCTGATCCACACGAATTCTCATGAGAAAATCTGTGTTCAGCTGACCTACCTGAACGAGTCTGTGACCCTGAGTGCCACACTCGAGTACCTAGGGGAGAACAGGAGCTTGATTGATGACGTGGTGTCAGAGAAAGACGTGTTCACCTGCATCCCTTTCTCTGTGAGTATCTCATGCTCGTGGGATGGTCTCTTGTGTTTATTGATGTGGGACAGTAGATCCAAGCAGTCCAGAAATAAGAAATAAGACACACTGCAATCAGAGATCCCTAAGCTAAGTCGAACAAAAGAATTAACTCAATGTGGATGACTGACTGTGGTAGTCTTACAAGGACTAATTTTCCCCCATTATCAAATTCTGTGTCCCACATGATACTTCTCTGCATGCGTTAGAGAAGTATTTTGGAACTTTGACTGACAGAATGTGCCCCATGTTTGTTTGATATGAGTAAGCCTGAGACGAAAAATACCAGGGTGGACTGAAAACTGTAGAAACCGGGGAATTGTTAAAGACAGTGAGGTCCATGAAATCATATGGCTGCTTCTGGAGCTTATTCCCAGTTTTTTACTGCAGAAAGTTGGTTGGTGAGTAATGTAAGCAACAGGTTCCATACCCTAATTAATGAATCTAGGTTGTTTTCTTTTTGATAAATCGTGTGATGGAATAAGGTCAAGTATTTCTGTAAGAAAAGTATATAAATGAAGGAAGGCAGTAGTTTTTTTCTTGCTCCCTGCCCTGAGTCATTTTTGTCCCTTTAGGGAACTTTCTGACCCAGCTAGCACTTCTTCCTTCAGTGCTCAGTGCAATGGGGTGGATCAGTAAAGCGGTTATCCTCTTCATTCTCCTTAGCTCCCAAAATCCAATAGCACATCAGTGGCATTTCTCACTGTGACGGTGACAGGGGACACACTGCAGTTCAAGAGTCGCAAGTCAGTGCTGGTCAAGAATTCTGAGAGCTTGGTCTTCGTCCAGACAGACAAACCCATCTACAAGCCCGGACAGACAGGTACCGGGAATTGGGCTGGTATTGACTCTGACAGCAAAACATCTTAAGGGCTCCATTCTCCAGAGGTGCCATACTTGTAGTGAAGTTTTCAGATTTCTTCATGGGGGGATCTAAAGTACTCAGTAAATCTTATTTCTGTCAGCTGAGGTCTAGTTCATGGCACTTTCATCATTCCAATCTCCATTCTCCAGGCACAGCATCTCAGCCAGGTGTAGGTACAGGCTCTGATTCATTCTACTCAAGTAGAGGCACAAAACAAGGGTGACTGCAAAGCATAGTCTCTCTTGGCTGCACCAGAATCAACAAAGCAGGACAGGCATTCCCAAGAGATAACTCAATTCAGCCAAGACCTGATTATTCTTCTAAATTTATCTGCCCCTCACTATCTGCAAGAGAAAGACCCTGAAGTAATTGTTTCTATTACTTAGAGATCTCAATTCAGAGCCTGTTGATCCATGGAAAGA